TTTTCCTTAAATCTGGCTCCCTTTCTTTCGCGTTTCTGCGTGATAAATTAATGATCCTGGTTATTTATGTATTGTTTACTTATTTGCTGATTATCTGTATTAGGTTCTTGAAGGCACCCAGTCTCACCGTGACGATAATAGAGAAGCCGTACAATCAACTTGTAATGATGGACGATCCTAGATCACCAGGAGGTCAGCGGCTGGACTTCACTGGGCCAGCAGCCAACTTTGTCCAGTACCTCTCAGATTCTCTAAATTTTACGTGAGTTGATAGTACATATGTCTTAAATACCAATATGAAATGCGAATTTGAAATGTAGTTTTTGTATCTTATAACTCCACCTTTCAAGTGCATGAAAATTTAAGAGAAATGTCTATAACTTGAGATTTATATAATACAAATTTGTTCAAAACCTATTATTTTTAAAGTTTTTATAATGTTTATATAAATTTATCGATTTTAACATATGACAGTTGATTCCAACATATGTCACCAGGTATGAGTACTTAATACCTCCGGATGGTACGTATGGCACCAGGACTGTGGATGGTACCTGGACTGGCATGGTTGGCTTGGTGAACAGGGAGGTAAGCAGGGTGAGGTAACACAGGTGAGAGGTCGTCGTGCATCACTGTGGGTTTGGTGAAGGTATGAAAACGTTACAACATGACTCTTAAGTTTCATACACAAGTAATCCATTGCACATAGACAGGGGCTTACGACGACGTTTCGGTCCGAGTTGGACCATTTACAAAGTCACACTGCCGGCCAAGTCGGACCGAAACGTCTTCGTAAGCTCCTGTCTCCTATGTGTGGGTATTGTGCCTTCTTATAATTCTTAAGTTACGTCTCATAGTTGTGCCTCCTGAGTTCTTCCATAACGGTTCTCAACAGATAATTGAATTCAATAAAAAAAAAATAACGTTTAAATATTTTCAGTTTTAAAAATGAACAGTAATATATTTATTTTATCACATTTGAGGACTATTACCAGTTAAGTATATTTTACGACATAACTGAAATATATTTACCTTCAGTGATGACTCGACCTTCTTGCAGCTGCATCCAAGAAGGTCACTTTACTGTGGATTGTGGTATCCCCATAACGGAGCTGTAGAATGTTGAATATTAAGTATAGTTTGTCCCAAAGCAGCTAATATTTCAGCATTTCACATTTGAAATGCTTAATGGACTTGTACTCACTTGGTTAGGTTTTAACAGCCCACACCTCACAATCCCATAATTTTTAAAGGGGTGGACCGGTAAGCCAGCGGAAGGCCTCGGTCAGATGACCAAAAGCTCCAAAGGCGGGTCATCATCTGACTAAGACCCGCGTCAGGAAACATTTGTCCTGTTTCTTGACGAACCTTACCTAACCTAACCTAACCTCACAATCTAGAATAGGACAGCCCTAATCACATTGTGTCTGCCCAAAACTGTAGTTTCATAGGTACTACAAGCGAGATTACGACTTACCTTGATTGTGTAACGTGAGTTATTGTGTCGACAACACCATTTACGCCGATATCGGTGACATGATTGAAGACTGAGGTGTCTCGAGGGATGTTGCACTGTTCCGCAGCACTGGTTACACTTCATTATTCAGTTCCAAGATTTGTCCATCGTTTAGTGGTATTTTCACAACAGGAAGACCAGTTACACTTCACTGCATAATTAATTCTACCGCAAATTTCTGAGATTGTCAAAATGAACAAGAGTCAAGAACGTACTAGTCACTACTGTCCTTTCGTCCTTTAGAGTAAGGGGGCGATGCCCACGTGACACTCGTTTCTCGTTTGTTCCTTGAAGCAATCTGAGCTCTCCTGCACACTCGTTCTAACCCTGAAATGCTGAACTCGGCATTCTTTCTCTCCTTGTTCAACACTACAAATGGTAGATTTCTTGCCATCTAGCTATAGACTACAATTCATCATAGTTCCAAATTGTTGACATAGTGAGTGCCGGGTTTTCCTTAATTTTCCTGCTAAGGGGAAGAGAGTAATTACTCTCGTTTAACTGTCACTAGTAACTGCAATGAACACTGATCTCTAGCAAGAAGAGGGTTGTGTGACTATGACACTGGTAGACGCTGGTACAGCACACGGTTCCAATTAAATTGTTTATGAGGAATTAAGAGAGGCCATTAACCCCTCTTCCAGGAGGGCTAAGTCCTTTAGGGGGCTGAAGGGGGCTGAGAGGTACCCCCTTTCTGGAGAATTTTCTCCACATCACATTTTCACTTATTTTTTTGAAAATATACATATACTAGAACGTTGAAAATCTTGGTTTCTAATTTTTATTACATTTTTTTTATCAGTTGTCAATATGTTGGATAATAACACAAATGACTGATGTTAAAAAGTTTTCCTTCTATATTCGTGCATCCACCCAGGAAGCAGACATCTCCATAGGACCTCTGAGTATGACTGCAACTCGTACTCAGGCAGTCGACTTCACATGGCCAGTATTGTTTGATAATACTCGTGTCTTAGCTGGTCAGGGGAAGCTAGAGGTGGACCCGTGGAGCTTCCTGTTACCACTGACACCGATGGTGTGGACAGCTACACTGACCACGCTGCTGCTGCTGCTGCCTGCTGCTATGCTGCTGTCTTATCTATGCTTCTCTCAACAGAGACTTCTGAATTTTAAGTTGATTGATGATAGCTATAATTTTCTACGTATATTATTACAACAAAGTAAGTTAATTTACAATTCAGTATGTTGTCTTTACAAATTTTCTAGAAAAGTAAAGCTTCAGGCTTTAACTCTTGGCGCTGAATATATATATAAATATATATATATATTATTATATATATATATATATTATATATATATATATATATATATATATAATATATATATATATATATATATATATATATACATATGTATATATATATATAATATATATATATATATATATATATATATAATATATATATATATATATATATATATATATATATTTATTTATTTATTTATATATATGTGTGTGTATATATATTGATCAATAACAACATGGCGACTAGCCAAGGATTCGAACCCATGATATTATGGCCCGCTCGTGGTGAGTGAAAATCACATGACGCTCTAAAACCATACCACTGGTGGGAATAAAACCCGCGATCAGAGAGTCTCAAAACTCCAGACCTTCGCGTTAGCTACTGGGCCCAGCTAGCTGGCCCAGTGGCTAACGCGACGGTGTGGAGTTTTGAGACTCTCTGATCGCGGGTTCTGTCCCCGCCCGTGGTATGGTTTTTTTTATGACGCTCCAACACACAGGATAACCAAATGCTACAAGAACCAAGCACCCAGCCAAGATAGGTGTATTACCCTTGTTCCAAGGACATACGGTGGTCTGGGTGCCTCCGAGGTGATTTCATTCTACTCCCTGTTTGGAGTACTAACCCAACAAGCAGTATTTTATATTATTGTAACCATGAACGAGTGACATTGATCAATAACAACACTGCTACTAGCCAAGGACTAGAACCTATGATGTTTTGGCCCGCCTCATGGTGAGCTTGGCTGGGTACTTAGTTCTTGTAGGATTTGGTGGTCCTTTGGGTTAGAGCATCATGTGATTTTCGCTCACCATGAGGTGGGCCAAAACATCATGTGTTCGAATCCTTGGCTAGTCGCAGTGTTACTGATCAATATTACTCGTTCGTGGTTACAATATTTAAATAATAGAAGAATATTATTAACTTATTGTTATCTTGTCTTCAATCAGTGATATCAACACAGACGATGAAATTATTGTGGAGGAAGTTCATATTTGGGGCTTGGATGATGGCCACATTGGTGTTAACTCGGAGTTACTCTGGCAACTTGATGGCTCTCCTGGCAGTGAGACACATCCCACAACCCTTCCAGTCGCTCCGGCAAGTTATCGATGATCCGTCAACAATTATGATATGGCAGAGAGGCTCAGTAAACACAGAATATATTCGTGTACGTTGTTGCATTAGAATTTGAAATTCTGTATGTCTGTGTACGTTGGTATTATTTGGTCTTTCATGTCTGTATGTTGTAAATAGGTCATGGACCGGACCGGGGGGGGGGGGCACGTAGTCCCCCGGAACACCGTCCATGTAAGTGTCGATTGCCTCAGGATAGGAACTACAAAAGTCATTTATTTCCATCTACTGAAAACTGTCATAATTTAATAAAAAAATATAAAACCACAACCTGGAGAGTGATTATGTGGAAAAAATATCTCCAACCGGATGCGAGAAGCATAATGGAGTAGCGACCCCTATCATAAGGGGGCTGCGACCCCTGTAATTTGTTCCAACATGTGGAGATGATGAAAAATCGAATATATAAGACAAAGTAACATATCAGCTTCTGTGTGTTTATTACCAAGCAAAATTAAAGATCAACTAACCGTAGATCAGATCCATATGCCGGACTAGGGTGTGGTAAGACCTCTTTCTCTCCTGCTCAGACCCTGCTATATGTACCTAACCGTGTTTGTACGAGTGAACTCCTATTTCTGAAACCCTAATTATGTTAGGTAGAAATACTCTTAGAATAATTAGTTAGGTATTATGACTCGTTTACTGTGAAATGTGACAGAATCATGGAAATCAGTTCCCTGATATTATGACTAAAAAGAATGCGTGCCGTGCTTTTTAATCATTATATCAGCAATTTTATGCGAATATAAGGAGGTGTGGACCAGTGGCGTCGTAAAGGGAAGGTCTCCCTGGGTGACACCATCAAGGGGTGACACCATCAAGGGGTGACACCATCAAGGGGTGACGCCATCAAGGGGTGACACCATCAAGGGGTGACGCCATAGAACCCTTAAAGGTGACACTAATGCCCAAAACAGTGCTGCAGAAACATAAGAGAAAACTCCTTCGTTTCTATACAGCCTATTATGTAATTACAGAGTACAAACAGGCCTATATAGGGAAAATCATTGATTTTGATGTGATAGATGATTTTGCAGGATTGAAGGCAAGGAAATGTAAGATCAGATTCACTGAGATGTTACCTGTACTCAAGGTCAAATCAGAATTAGTGTTTCTCTTATATTGCAATGTTTTTCTTTATTTTTCAAGTTTTTTTTTTCATTGTTGAAGAATAATAAATGTAGGATGTGTTGCTGTACTCAAAGTGATATTTGAGTTTGTTTCCTCAATATTACTACGATTATTTACTTTATCATTAATAAAGTTGAGAAATATTTTCCTGTTCAGTTTATGGCCTTTAAACGTTATCATTGTTAAACATTAGTCACTGGTCATGCTGTAGTGACGTAACTGGTCATGCTGTAGTGACGTAACTGGTCATGCTGTAGTGACGTAACTGGAGTTTACTCCCCACCATCCCCCTACCCTTGGATTTCGTGGTGGTGTCACCAGAGATGCTGCCTGGGGTGTCACCAGAGATGCCGCCCCGGGTGACACCAGAGATGCCGCCCCGGGTGACACCAGAGATGCCGCCCCGGGTGACACCAGAGATGCCGCCCCGGGTGACACCAGAGATGCTGCCTGGGGTGACACCAGAGATGCTGCCTGGGGTGACACCAGAGATGCTGCCTGGGGTGACACCAGAGATGCTGCCTGGGGTGACACCAGAGATGCTGCCTGGGGTGACACCAGAGATGCTGCCTGGGGTGACACCAGAGATGGTGCCTGGGGTGACACCAGAGATGCTGCCTGGGGTGACACCAGAGATGCTGCCTGGGGTGACACCAGAGATGCTGCCTGGGGTGACACCAGAGATGCTGCCTGGGGTGACACCAGAGATGCTGCCTGGGGTGACACCAGAGATGCTGCCTGGGGTGACACCAGAGATGCTGCCTGGGGTGACACCAGAGATGCTGCCTGGGGTGACACCAGAGATGCTGCCTGGGGTGACACCAGAGATGCTGCCTGGGGTGACACCAGAGATGCTGCCTGGGGTGACACCAGAGATGCTGCCTGGGGTGACACCAGAGATGCTGCCTGGGGTGACACCAGAGATGCTGCCTGGGGTGACACCAGAGATGCTGCCTGGGGTGACACCAGAGATGCTGCCTGGGGTGACACCAGAGATGCTGCCTGGGGTGACACCAGAGATGCTGCCTGGGGTGACACCAGAGATGCTGCCTGGGGTGACACCAGAGATGCTGCCTGGGGTGACACCAGAGATGCTGCCTGGGGTGACACCAGAGATGCTGCCTGGGGTGACACCAGAGATGCTGCCTGGGGTGACACCAGAGATGCTGCCTGGGGTGACACCAGAGATGCTGCCTGGGGTGACACCAGAGATGCTGCCTGGGGTGACACCAGAGATGCTGCCTGGGGTGACACCAGAGATGCTGCCTGGGGTGACACCAGAGATGCTGCCTGGGGTGACACCAGAGATGCTGCCTGGGGTGACACCAGAGATGCTGCCTGGGGTGACACCAGAGATGCTGCCTGGGGTGACACCAGAGATGCTGCCTGGGGTGACACCAGAGATGCTGCCTGGGGTGACACCAACCCTAGCAACGTCACTGGCGTGGACGACACCACACTGTCGGTGTCGGTCTTGATCTCTGTCAGTCTATGTTTGTCTCTGACCATTTATTCTAGTCGGGAAGACTGTTGCAAGATCAACTGAGCGAGTGAGCAAAACACATGGTAGTGCTACACAGATCACATACCTGGAGTATACTTGGAGAGGGTTTCTTGGCTCATCACCCCCGCGGCCCGGTCTGTGACCAAGCCTCGCAGTGGGTCAGGGCCTGATCAACCAGGCTGTTACTTCTGGCCGCACACAAACCAACATATAAACCACAGCCAGGCTGGTCAAGTACTGACTTTAGGTGCCTGTCCAGCACCTTCTTGAAGACAGCTAGAGGTTTATTGGTAGTCTCCCATACGTGCGACGGAAGGCAGTTGGACAGTCTTGGGCCCCTGAAGCTTATTGTGTTCTCCTAACACTCTCCTGGAGAACCTGCTTTTCATTGGGAGATGTTGCATCTCCTGCCGAGCCTTTTGCTTTCGTACAGTGATTTTCGTGTGCAAATGTGGTACTAATCCCTTTAGGATTTGACAGGTATGTACCATCATGTATCTTTCTTGCCTGCGTTCCAGGGAATACAAGTCATGGGACTTCAACCGTTCCCATTAATTTAGGTTCTTTATCGTACTTATGTGTGTAGTGAAGATTATCTATACATTCTCCATGTCTGCAATTTCGCCTCCCTTGAAAGAGGACATTAGTGTACAGCAATATTCCAGCCCAGAGAGAACAAACAATTTGAAGAGAATCATCATGGGCTTGGCAAAAAAAGTCCCTAGTTTTGAAGGTTCTTATATCATATTTCTAGCAGATCCTCTGACAATATCACTCCCAGGTCCTTCACATTAGTTTTTCGTACTATTGTTTGGTTGGAATTTGTTTTATACTTATATATAGTTTTATAATTACCTCAAGTTTTCCAAATTGGAGTAATTGAAATTTCACTTCATTGAATTTCTTTTTTTTTTTCCGCAGCCCGCTTGAAGATTTGGTTGTCTGCTTGGAGTCTTGCAGTGTCGTCGATGGAGGACACTGTCACGCAAATTCGGAAAAGAAATACACGTTGCTGTGGCTTACTACTCTGTCAGATATGGTTATGAGGAACTAATGGGGGCGAGTACTGTGCCTTGTGAAACAGAGATTTTCACTGTAGCCACCTCAGACTTTACTCTGTTTACCTTTACTCTTTGTGTTCTATATGCTAGTAAGTTATAGATCCATCTACAAACTTTTCCAGTTATTCCTTTATCACGCATTTTGTGTGCAATTACACCATGGTCACACTTGTCAAAGGCTTTAGCTAAGTCTGTGTATATCACATCTGCATTTTATTTGTCCTCCAGTGCATCTAAGACCTTTTTATAGTGGTCCAGCAGTTGGGGACAGGCAGGAGCGGCCTAATCTAAACCCAAGTTGCCCTGAGTTGTGTAACTAATGGGTATCTAGATGGGTGGCGATCTTGCTTCTTAGAACCCTTTCAAAGATTTTTATATGGGACATTAATGCTATTGGTCTGTAATTCTTTGCAATTGTTTTATTGTTCCATTTGTTGAGTGGGGCTATGTCTGTTGTTTTTGGTGACTGTGGGATGACCCCTGTGTTCATACTCCCTCTCCATAGAATGCTAAAGATACGTGACAGGGGCTTCTTGCAGTTCTTGATGAACACGGAGTTCCGCGAGTCTGGGCCTCGGGCAGTGTGCTGAGGCATGTCATTTATTGCCTTTCTGAAGTCATGTGGTGTTACGATAATATCATGGATTTTTGAGTTGCCCAAATTTTGAGTCTCGGTCATAAAAATTTCTTTTGGGTTGTCGACCCTTAGTCTGGTTTACGGCTCTCTTAACACCAAGTAATATTAGGACTTTAGTATCTCACTCATTTTCTTGCTGTCGTCTGTGTAAGTTCCATCTCGTCTAAGTACTGGATGTTGTTTTTGCCCTAGATTTGGCATGAGAAAAGAAATATTTTGTGTTTCTTTCAGTTTCATTTATGGCTTTTAGTTCTTCCTGAGTTTCTTGGCTCCTGTACTATTCCATAAGTTTAAGTTCGATATTTGCTATTTCTCTGATCAGTGTCTCCCTTCGTATTTCAGATATACTGGCCCATCTCAGCAGCTGTGATTCTTCACCTTTGCTTGTATAGGGAGCATTTCTCTTTCTAGTTTACATCTTACCTTCATTTTCCTTTAAAGAATGTGCCTTAAGCAGACCTCAAGTACCAGTCTCAATTCTTTTTAGGCATAGGTTCGGATCCGTGTTGTTGAAGATATCTTTACAGCTTGTTTCGTTTAAGACATAGTTGGCTTGATCTCACTGTATGTTTTTGTAACTGAAGTTGTATTTTGTGAAGGCACCTTCATAACTGATCACATTTTGCTGGTCAGGAACCCTGCACATAAATGTCTGTCCCTCTATTATGTTATGATCTGAATGTATTGTCTTTGCTACGGCTATATTTCATATCAGATCAACATTGTTAGTGAAGATGAGCTCTATTATTTACTGGTTTAAGGTGAATTTGGTGCAGAGATTAATAGCTCGTGTGTGTGTGAATTTTTATCTGAGCTGCCTTCTGGATTTATCTCTGCTAAAACATTATTTGCTATATTCCTCCATTTTAGGTGTCTTAAGTTGAAGTCCCCCATCAGCAAAATGTTTGGAGCATGAGTAGGAAGATTTTCCAGACAGTGGTCGATTTTCAAAAACTGTTTCTGAATTTGCTGGGAAGTTGCATTTAGAGGCTTGTACATAACCACAATGACAGTTTTGGCTTTCGATCTTTACTGCCAAAACTTCAACTACATCATTTGAAATGTTTAGTAGTTCTGAGCAAATGAGCGATTCTGTGATATACAGGCTAAACCTCCCTTATTGCGTGTTTATTCTGTCAGTGATCCATTGTGTGGGCCTCCGTGAATGCCACATTGCATTTGGCTGTGTGCAGTCAACTGATGAAAGGTATTTTGTTGTTCGTTGCTGGCTTAAGACACTGTATATTTGCCTAGAATCATAAATTCGTGGCCAAATCGTACATCTTCGTGTTGCTATTCAAGCTCGATAAATGACTGAAAAGAACTGAAGTAAAGATAGTGTTGAAACTACGATAGTTATCTTTACTAAGCAAGCTGTCACCAGTCTCCATACAGTGAACGAAATCGTAAAGACAAGATTGCAAACAAACCATACCAGGGTGGTGTTTGAACCCGTGGTATGGCTTGTTTGCAATAGTGTCATTACGATTTCGTGAGTCAAACCATAACACGGGTGGGAATAGAACCCGCGATCAGAAAGTCTCAAAATTCTCAGTGGCTAACGCGTCGGTCTGGAGTTTTGAGACTCTCTGATCGCGGGTTCTAACCCCGCCCATGGTATGGTTTGGTACATATCTATGTTGATGAGTGAATCTAGTGAACAGAGATTAGTGATACTGAAACAACTGGATGTTGAATATATTAACAAGAACACTAGTGTCCAACACACTTTGCCGAGTTACTAAACTGTTCAACATTATTCAAAGGAAGAGTGACTTCATCCTACCTCCAATCAGACCATCATTCCCGGTGTCACTTTTTTTTGGGGGGGAGGGGGTTATAATAAACACCCAGGTAAGTCCTCCCAAACTCATATTTCACTGTGTTGGCTATAGCCAATGGGTAGTGATATTTTGTTTGACATGGCTTACAGTAGACATCATGACACGTGGACGATTATCCAAACCCAGGTGAGACTCACCAACGACGTTCCAGGTGAAAAACGTGAAACAGTGGAATATATATACTCAGGTCATAATCGCTTATTTTCATCCCCTCTGGTACCCAGACAGCCAATGTCGAAGGAGAACCCCAGAGCCGCGGCTGCTGGGAGTCTGAGATATTAACCAAGATGTTTTTAATAGTCGTTAATGAACTTTAAAGCATTTATCATTAAAAATTCCACATTATTATTGAATATTATATTGTAATCTGTTTGATATCAGATTTGATATTACGTGTAAATATAGTTCAAATGTGTTCCTCTTATCCAGAAATCTATGTATATTACACGTTCATTATTCATCCACTTCAAATTGTCTCACACAGAATGCTAAATCTGGCATAATCCGAGAAGTGGCTGACTTAGAAGCTACAGGACGAGTGATTTACATGGCACCGCAAGAGTACAAGACTGCTATAAATACCTTGGTGAGACGAGGCACTCACGTCCTCGTAGACGTCGACATATCACTCAGATATTTAACTGCCCAAGACTTCACGGAAACAGGTGATTGGTGTTTCTATATTTTCTTCATGTAAAAGTTATTGTTATTAAAGAACATATTACAAATCTCATTCATGTTCTCTGTAACAAGTTACTCAATTAAAAAATGAATTAACTTGCGATTTTTAAAAACTATTATTAATTTTTTATATAGTGAAGAACGAGGAACGATCAGAAATTTAGAAAACTAAACGTTAAACTGAAAAGGAAAGTGTTATTCAACTTTAGTTTTAAACATTGCGATAAAAATAATTGCAAAAGAAAATTGTCACTTGTCTGAGACATTTCCGTACCCAGGTAAACGATATACTTTTCTTACTATATCCAGGCTGAAGGTGTCACTCAGTGATGTCGTTAGCACCGCTCTCTGTCTGTTAGCTAATAATGATCTAGTTTCTGTTCTCCCATATATTTAGCCATCACTTTATGTTGATGACTTTGCCCGGTGGCCTGGTGGCTAAAGCTCCCGCTTCACACACGGAGGGCCCGGGTTCGATTCCCGGCGGGTGGAAACATTTCGACACGTTTCCTTACACCTGTTGTCCTGTTGACCTAGCAGCAAATAGGCACCTGGGTGTTAGTCGACTGGTGTGGGTCGCATCCTGGGGGACAAGATTAAGGACCCCAATGGAAATAAGTTAGTCCTCGATGACGCACTGACTTTCTTGGGTTATCCGGGGTTAAAAATCCGAACGAAATCTCTCTCTTATCTCTTATAGTTTGTGCAGGCTCTAACTGCCACCTAGTAGCAGCCTGTCTCTCCACAATGCTATCGACAGGGATATTTTCTGGTACTAAAACGCACCAGATTAGTTTTACTAAACGCTCTGTTATCTATAATACTCCATTATACTTGTATTGTTCCCGTATCCCTGAACGTGTTACGGTTAGATTTCTCGGTCTTCTATTTGATCGCCGGCTGTTCTGGAAACCTCACATTACCTCCCTGAAAGCAACTTGCCATTCATTTTTCTTGGGGGGGGGGCAGATCAACAAACTCTCCTTCGACGTCATTCAGCCCTAATCTTATCGAAACTAAATTATGGGACCAGATATATTCTGCGGCCTCTCCCAAAACTCTTTCTTAACTTGATGTCATTTATCATCAGGAATATGCTTTTCGTTCCATTCCTGTCGAGAGCCTATATGCAAAGGTGAATGTTCCATCTTTAAACGATCGGCGTGATACTAATTGCCTGTGATATTTTGTCCGCTCTCGTGACCTTCACGATACTTCTTCATACAGGATGGTAACAGACGGCAGTAGAGGTTCATTATTTGATCGCTGCTCCGTTAACTCAGTCCCTTTCCTCTTCGTCTAAACTCGCTCTTGGCTTCTTTTCAATTATCCCCTTTATATGTTTATCTAGTATCTAACTTTTCTCTTTCCTCTTGGGAGGTTCCGACAATTCGAGTCTGTTCCTCCTCTCTGTCATACGCAAAAGCTCAAATACTCAATCTCTTTTGCTTAATCTCTTCCCATCTTATTCTAATTCCGTTGCAATTTACACTAATGGTTCTAAATTCTGTGATGGTACCGGGTTTGCAGCAGTGTTCCTGGCCAGCTTTATACAACGTCATTTATAAGACTTAAGCATTGTGAAGATGAACTGTATGTAGTTCTCATAATGATTTTATATATTGGATCCAAGCCTACCTACAAATAAATCGTTATTTGCTTGTCGTGTTTATGTTGGGCAACAACGTTGGTCTGAACTGATTCATAACAAATTATATTCTATCAAGGCGTGCTTAGGATCATAGTCTTCTTCTTATCGCTGTTGAGCTTGGGAGACTACGCTCTTCCATCTTCGCATCGGGCACACACGTCTTGCTCATGGGTATCTCATGGAGAGGCGCCTAGTGCCACTCTGTTAGTACAGTCAAGTTCCAATTTTAGTTTGCCATATTCTGCTAGACTGTCCTGTCTACCATCGGGCAGGCAGAATTTACCTTCGACGTCATCACCACTCTAACACATACTTTATCTTCCCTGCTAACTGACGGCCCCACCTTTGACACAGGTTCCCTCTTTGACCTTTTGTCAGCAACAGATTTATTACACAAACTTTGATTATTATTTCTTTAGCACTTTTCACCGCCTCACTAACTCTACCTTTGTTATACTCTCCACCCTCGCTGGTCTCAGATCAAGCATATTCAACCTTGAGTGCACACTGCCCTGCAATGCTGTATAACCCTTATGGGTTTGGCTCAAAGAATAATAATAATCTCACTGGACAATCTGTTTCCTGTCATAACATGGCCTCATATTATGTGATATAGCTCCATAATATCGCATGATGGAACAGTCAGATCGCAAAAGCACTGTTTCACCCTGCAATAATGAAACACTCTCTTGTGTTCAAATGTACATCGTGGCCTGGTTACTAAAGCTCTCGCTTCACACAGCTAGGGTCCGGGTTCAATTCCCAGCGAGAGCAGAAACATTCGGCGTGTTTCTTTCCACCGGTTGTCTATGTTCACCCATCAGTAAAATGGGTACCTGGGTGTTAGTGGACTGGTGTGGGTCGCATCCTGGGACAAAATTGACCTAATTTGCCCGAAATGCTCAGCATAACAAGTGGCTTTCTATATAGTAGTATGTCATTGATGTCAGCTATGGTCTGTATACCTTGTATATGTACTTGTGAAAATAAAGATATTACATTATTATTATTTCTAGATCTACTATTACTACTATTATTGCTATTAGAACTACTACTACTAATTCTTATTCTTATTATTATTATTATTATTATTATTAGTGGTAGTAGTAGTAGAAGTAGTGAAGAAAACAAGTGAGTAACGCTCCATGGAAGCATTTTTACAAACAATTACAAAATATTCGCATTTTTACCTCAAAAATAAATATGGTGAACAATTGTATTGAACAGGTCGCTGTGACTTTTACTCGTCCAGAGAAGGGTATCTGCCGTTCTCGTCTGGTGCAATAAGTCAGAAGGATAACCCTATTGTGACATCTTTAAATCACAGGTAAAAATTTAAATTACGTTTGTGTATGTATAGGTTTGTATGAGTATGAGTGGTGTGTGTACTCACCTATTCATCTATTTGTGATTGCAAGGGTCGATTCATAGCTCCTGGCCCCGCCTCTTCAATGATTGCTTCTAGGTTCTCTCTCTCGCTGCTCAATGAGCTTTATCAAACCTTGTCTTAAAACTATGTATGGTTCCTGCCTCCACTACATCACTTTCTGGGCTATTCCACGGCCTGACAACTCTATAACTGAAGAAAAACTTCCTAAAATCCCTTTGACTCGTAGGAGTCTTCAACTTCCAAGTGTGACCACTTGTTTCTGTGTCCCATTTCTCTAACATCCTGTCTTTGTCCACCTTGTCAATTCCTAGCAGTATTTTGTATGTCGTTATCATGTCTCCCCTGACCCTACTATCCTCCAGTGTCGTCATGCCGATTTCACTTAACCATTGTTCATAGGACAATCCCTTTAGTTCTGGGACTAGTCTTGTTACAAACCTTTGCACTTTCTCTAATTTCTTGACGTGCTTGACCAGGTGCGGATTCCAAACTGGTGCTGCATACTCCAATATGGGCCTGACGTATATGGTGTACAGTCTTGAACAATTCCTCATTGAGAAATCGGAACGACATTTTTAGGCTTGCCAGACGTTCGTTTGCTGCAGCAGTTATCTGATTGATGTGCGCCTCAGGAGATGTGCTCGGTATTATGCTCACCCCAAGATCTTTTCCATGAGTGAGGTTTGTAGTCTTTGGCCACCTAGACTATACTCTGTGGTCTTCTTTGCCCTTCCCTGATCTTCATGACTTTGCATTTGGCGGGGTTAAATTCAAGGAGCCAGTTGCTGAACCAGGCTTGTAGCCTGTCCAGGTCTCTTTGTAATCCTACCAGATCCTCAACCGACTTAATTTTCCTCATTAACTTCACATCATCAACAAACAGGGACACTTCTGAGTCTATCCCTTCCACATATACCAAAAACAGAACAGATCCTAGGACTGGCCCCTGTGGAACCCCACTCATCAGGGGCGCTAAGTCTGACACCTTGTCACGTACCATGACTCGTTGTTGACTCCCTGTCAGGTATACTCTGATCCATTGCAGTGCCTCTCCTGTTATGTGTGCATGATTCTCTAGTTTTTGCATTTACCTCTTGTGTTGAAGGCCTTCCAAGAAAACCCAGTCTGTCCACCCCACTCTCTCGTGTCTTACTTCTGTTACCTATTCATAAATCTCAGTAGGTTTGTGAAACAGGATTTTCCTTCCCTGAAACCGTGCTGGTTGTCGTTTATAAGCTTGTCTTTCTCTAGGTGCTCCACTACTCTCCTCCTGATGATCATCTCCATGACTTTGCATACTATACAAGTCAGTGACACTGGTCTGTAGTTAAATGCCTCGTGTCTGTTTCCTTTCTTAAAAACTGGGACTACATTTGCCATCTTCCTCATCTCAGGTAGTTGTCTAGCTTCACTGGATGTGTTGAAGAATTTTGTTAGTGGCACACACAGCATCTGTTTGTGTGTGTGTACTCACCTAATTGAGGTTGAGGGGTCGAGATCCAGCTCCTGGCCCCGCCTCTTCACTGATCGCTACTAGGTCCTCTCCCTGCTCCATGAGCTTTATCATACTTCGTCTTAAAGTTATGTATGGTTCCTGCCTCCACTACATCACTTTCTAGACTATTCCACTTCCTGACAACTCTGTGACTGAAGAATTACCTCCTAACTTCCCTTTGACTCATCCGAGTCTTCAATTTCTAATTGCAATCCTTAGTTTCTGTGTCCGTTCTCTGGAACAGCCTGTCTGTGTCCACCTTATCTATTCCACGCAGTATTTTGTATGTCGTTATCATGTCTCCCATAACCCTCCTGTCCTCCAGTGTTGTCAGGCCGATTACTTTTAACCTTTCCTTCCTTTGCTCTGAAGCTAGCCTTGTTGCAAATCTTTGCACTTTCACTAATTTCTTGACGTGCTTGACCAGGTGTGGGTTCCAAACTGGTGCTGCATACTCCTGTATGGGCCTGACGTACACGGTGTACAGTGTCTTGAACGATTCTTTACTAAGGTATCGGAACGCTATTCTCAGGTTGGCCAGGCACCCATATGCTGCAGAAGTTACCTAGTTGACGTGTGCTTCCGGAGACGTGTTCAATGTTATACTCACCGCAAAATCTTTCTCCTTGAGCGAGGTTTGTAGCCTTTTGCCACCTAGCCCATACTCTGCGGTCTTCTTTGCCCTTCCGCAATCTTCATGACTTTGCATTTGGCGGGGCTAAATTCGAGGAGCCAGTAGCAGGACCAGGATTACAGCCTGTCAAGGTCGCTTTGTAGTCCTGCCTGATCCGCATCTGCTTTAATTCTGTTCATTAACTTCACATCATCTGCGAACAGGGACACTAATGAGTCTATCCTTTCCATCATGTCATTCACATAAACCAAAAATAGCACTGGTCCTAGGACTGACCCCTTCGTGACCCCGCTCGTCACAGGCGCCCACTGTGATACATCATCACGTACCATGACTCGTTGTCTCCCTGTCAGGTATTCTCTGATCCATTGCAGTGCCCTCCCTGTTAAACGTGCCTGATCCTCTAGCTTCTGCACTAATCTCTTGTGAGGAACTATGTCAAAGGCCTTCCTGCAGTCCAGGAAAATGCAATCAGTCCACCCCCTCTCGTGTCTTACTTCTGTTACTTTGTCATTAAACTCCAGAAGATTTGTGACACAGGATTTGCCTTCCATGAATCCGAGCTGGTTGTCGTATATAATTTTGTTCCGTTCCAGGTGCTCCACGACTCTCCTGATAATCCTCTCCATGACTTTGCATACTGTACACGTCAGTGACACTGGTCTATAGATTAGTGCCTCGTTTCTGTCTCCTTTCTTAAAAATGGGGACTACATTTGCCGTCATCCATACCTCAGGTAGTTGTGTGTGTGTGTGTGTGTGTAATTACCAATGGTACTTGTCGACAGACACTTGGTCTACAGCTTGTAGTTTCTGGTGTGTGTGTGTGTGTGTGTGTGTGTGTGTGTGTGTGTGTGTGTGTGTGTGTGTGTGTGTGTGTGTGTGTGTACTCATCTGTATGTGGTTCCAGGGGTTAAGTTTCGGCTCCTGGCCCCGCCTCTACGCTAGCCGTTACTAGGCCCACTCTCTTATTGCTTCAAGACCCTCATCATACCTCTTCTGAAACCAATGTACGGATCCTTCCTCCAATACATTACTCTCTAGAATGTTCCACTTCTGACCACTCTGACTAAAGAAATAGTTCTTAGCATCCCTGTGACTCATCTGAGTTTTCATCTTCCATTTGTGACCCCTTGTTGCTGTGTCCCATCTCTGGAACATCCTGTCTCTGCCCACCTTGTCAATTCCTCTCAGTATTTTATATATCGTTATCGTGTCCCTTCCCCCCTGTCCTATCCTCCAGTGTCGCTAGGTCGATTTTTTTAACCTCTCCTCATAGGACATACCTATTAGATTCTGGATTAGGTTTCCCAAGCGCCCATATGCTGTAGTAGTTATTTGGCTAACGTACGCCTCAGGAGATGTGCTCGGTATTGTTCTTCCTCCAAGGTCCTTATCCTTTGAGTGAGGTTTGCATACTTTTGACCCTTAGACTGTACTTTGTCTTTAACCTTCCCCAATCATCATGACTTTGCAGCTGGAGTGTTTAAACTCCTAAAGCTAGTTGCTGGACCAAGCTTCCAGCCTGTCCAGAATCCTTTGTAGTCTTATCCGATTGAAATCTACGCATTACTTTCATGTCGTCTGCAAACAGGGACACCTCTGAATCTATCTCTTCCGTCGTGTCATTCACATATAACATTAACAGCACCGGACCCAGGACTGATCCCTGTGGAGCCCTGCTTGTCACAGGCGCCCACTCTGATACCTCGTCAAGTACCATGACTCGTTCTTTGCATCCTGTCAGGTATTCTCTGATCTATTGCAAAGCCTTTCCTGTTATACCTGCCAGCTCCTCTTGCTTTTGAACTAATCTCATGTGAGGATCTGTGTCGAAACCCTTCTTGCGGACTTTGAAAATGCAATCTACCCACCCCTCTTTCTCTTATCTCACTTCTGCCCTCCAGTGTCATCAGGTCGATTTCCCTTAACTTCTCCTCTTAGGACATGCCTCTTAACTCCGAGACTAGTCTTGTTGCAAACCTTAGGACTTTCTCTAATTTCCTGACGTGCTTGGTCAGGTTTGGGCTCCAAACTGGTGCTGCATACTCCAGTATGGGCCTGGTGTACACGGCGTACAGAGTAATGAACGACGTCTTACTGAGGCGCCGGAAAGCTATTCTTATTTTGCTAGGCGCCCGTATACTGCATCAGTTATTTGGTTGATGTGCGCTTCAAGAAATGTGTTCGGTGTCATACTTATCCCAAGATCCTTTTCGTTGAGTGAGGTTTGTAGTCTTTGGCCACCTAGGCTGTATACTGTCTGCGGCCTTCTCTGCTCTTTCCCTATCTTCATGACTTTGCACTCGGCGGGGTTGAACTCCAGTTGCCATTTGCAAGTCCATGCCTGTAGCCTGTCCAGATTTCTTTGTAGTCCTGCCTGGTTCTCCTCCGACTGAATTCTCATCATTAAATTGACATCATCCACAAACGAGACACTTCTGTGGCTCCTCGTTCTGCCATGTCATTAACATATACCAGAAACAGCACCGGTCCTATGAATGACCAATGTAGAACAACCCTCGTCACAGGCGCCCACACCGACATCTCGTCGCGTATGATGACTCGCTGATGCCTCACTGTCAGGTATTATCTGATCCACTGCAGTGCCTTCCCTGTTATACCTGCCTGGTCCTCCAGCTTTTGCACTAATCTCCTGTGGGGACCTTTGTTAAAAGACTTTTTACAGTCCAAGAAAATGCAATCTACCCACCCATCATTCTCTTGCCTTAGTGCTGTCTCCTTGTCATAGAACTCCAGGTTTGTGACACAGGATTTCCCATTTCTGAATCCGTGCTGGTTGTCGTTGATAAGCTCATTCCTTTTTAGGTAGTCCACAAATCTCTTCCTTTTAATCTTCTCCATGACTTTGCATACTATGCTTGTCATTAATACTGGTGCTACGTGTCTCTATCCTTTCTCAGAAATTTTGACTACATTTGCTGTGTTCCATACCTCAAGGAGCAGTCCTGTTTCGGAAGATGTGTTGAAAATTGTTGTTAGTTGTACAGAGTGTGCCTCTGCTCCCTCTCTCAGAAACCGCGGAGAGATGTTATCCATTTCAATCACCTTTTAGGTGTCTAGTTCCCTTCGCAGACTCTTCACCTCTTTCTAGGTTGTATGTATTGTGTCTGGCACTTGGTGGTTTACCCTACCACTCCGTGTTTCAGGAGAACTTTCTATCTCCACTGTGTGTGTGTGTACTCACCTATTTGTACTCACCTATTTGTGGTTGCAGGGGTCGAGTCTTAGCTCCTGGCCCCGCCTCTTCACCGGTTGCTACTGGGCCCTCTCTCTCCCCGCTCCATGAGCTTTATCAAACCTCGTCTTAAAACTGTGTATGGTTCCTGCCTCCCCTACGTCATTTTCTAGGCTATTCCACTGCCTTACAACTCTATGACTGAAGAAATACTTCCTAATATCTCTCTGACTCATTTGTGTCTTCAACTTCCAATTGTGGCCTCTTGTTTCTGTGTTCCCTCCCTGGAACATCCTGTCTTTGTCCACCTTGTCTATTCCACGCAGTATTTTATATGTCGTTATCATGTCTCCCCTGACCCTCCTGTCCTCCAGTGTCGTCAGGCCGATTTCCCTTAATCTTTCTTCATAGGACATTCCCCTTAGCTCTGGAACTAACCTTGTGGCAAACCTTTGTACTTTCTCTAGTTTCTTGACGTGCTTTATCAAGTGCGGGTTCCAAACAGGTGCTGCATACTCCAGTATGGGCCTGACATACACGGTGTACAGTGTCTTGAACGATTCCTTACTAAGGTGTCGGAATGCTGTTCTCAGGTTTGCCAGGCGCCCATATGCTGCAGCAGTTATCTGATTGATGTGTGCTTCTGGAGACATGCTCGGTGTTATACTCACCCCAAGATCTTTCTCCTTGAGTGAGGTTTGCAGTCTTTGGCCACCTAGCCTATACTCTGTCTGTGGTCTTCTGTGCCCTTCCCCTATCTTCATGACTTTGCATTTGGCAGGATTAAATTCGAGAAGCCATTTGCTGGACCAGGTGTCCAGTCTGTCCAGGTCTCTTTGAAGTCCTGCCTGGTCCTCATCAGATTTAATTCTCCTCATTAACTTCACATCATCTGCAAACAGGGACACTTCTGAGTCTGTGTGTGTGTGTGTGTGTGTGTGTGTGTGTGTGTGTGTGTGTGCATTCATTGAATCATTTTGTAATATTTTGTAGTTCTTATAGAATGCTTTGTAAGAACTTTTGATAAACCTAACTCTGTTTTCTGGCACACAGAGTTATGGCTCTTGTGGAATCCGGGATATTCGTTAAATGGTTCATAGCAAATATTCCTAACTCCACAAAATGTCTCAATCCTCCAACGAAGTTCACCGTCCGTTCATCTCTGTCCTTGGCAAATCTTTGGGTAAAATGACATTACACTTGTGCATAACGAAAACATGTTTCTATTATTATTAAAAGTACATATCTTGAATAGAATCATACTGAATTGTTTATTAACGTAAACTACATCTTATTTGTCCTTTCCTTTGTATGTGTTTCAGGGAATGTTCGTAGTTGTGGCCGGTGGTACAGCTGTCAGTTTGTTGGTGTTTTGTTTGGAGATCCTAAGTGCTAGATCTTCCAGGGACGGACCTCCGCTACAACTGACTTAATGAAGCCATAAGGAACTTTTCACTTTCATCATTCCAAGAAATAAATATACTTATTTAGGCGCTTTCACTGTTAATTTGAAATAATTCTTTCACTGTGCATAATTAAATATATTAAGTAAATAAATAAGGATAAAATCTAGGCAGGCGTCTAATGTTCTAAAACCATACCCCCGGCCGGGATTGAACCCGCGGTCATAGAGTCTCAAAACTCCAGTCCGTCGCGCTAGCCACTAGACCAGCTAGCCACAATAAGATTCATCCAACTAGGTATATTTCTACACCATAGGAAAGTTAGCACAGGCACCTCTGTGACCACAAATGCAAGTTTTTACAGACGAATCTCCAGCTAGCGTGGCCGTGACGAACTCTAGCTCAAGTCCCTTCACTGCCGTCAACATGACGGTTTATTTGCAATCGTGTCATTACGATTTCTTAAGTTGTTCCAGTAAGTGATTTTACTCCCTCGTTAAAATCTAAAAAGTTGTTACATGCAACTCATGACACATTAGCCTACTGACCCATGCTCCCTCGAGTGAAATATTCCTCCACTAACAGTACATGTGAGGCGAAGCTGAATTTGGTTAATCTGCTATATAAGACAGTTTTTCCTCCGCTACTTTTACTCTTCCTTATGACTGTTACGTAGTGAGACACTGGAGTAAACAGTGTCTAGGTGTACCATTGCTCTTAGTTTCACACTAAATTATTAAAATAAAATCACCCTATATCCACACACCCTAGAAAACTCAAGTGTTCATTGTTTTGAGTAGAATATAGGCTAATAGCTACGAAAAGACGAAGTTACTCTTGTTTTCTTTAATGATGACTGAAATGGCGATTAAAGATGACTCAAACATTTTCGCCTGCAGAAGTTTGCTTCTTTGGTTACTATTTAGCGTCACTGAATCTCATGAGGTAGTTGGAGGAGTTTTTGTGCTGCTCACAAACGTTGTTAAAGATGCAGTTTCTGCCTGCATTGATGCCTTCATTGAGACTTGTTTCTAAGGTTCGTGCTGTTTTACCGAGGTAGACCTGCAGTGAATGGTTCAAGGTTCTTCAGTTTGGTTCTGGTCAGGTCTATGATGGCTGTACTGGTTGAGATGGCGACTCTAGTGTTGGCTTGTGCAAGTACTTTGGAAACGTTCAAGGCAACTGGCTGTTGGAAACGCTTATGACTTTGTTTGAGCCGGTGTTAATGCGAGGTGAATTAATGATTTACAGGGCTTTTTTTTTTTTTTTAGCAGTTCTTGATAAGAAAGGAAGGAAATATTAGCTTAGTGAAGGTTTGATGTATGTATGTACACTCCTCGTCAGGAAACCCTGGGTTGCGAATTCGTTGTGCTCTGAGGAAAAATTCAATGATGATTCCTCGTTTGGTCTTTGTATCCTGACTGCAATAGTCGTATGTGAGATCGTTTTGGTTTGTAGGCTTTCTGTAAACTTGGAATTTAATGGTGTTATCAACTTTACGAATAAGGACGTCGAGAAATGGCAACCTGTAATTGGACTCTTCAGGTGTGAATTAGATGGCCGATTCAGTTGCGTTGAGTCTTCTTTGTAGGCTTACATGCAAAAGAAGGTTGGGCGTTATTATGAGTACGACGTCCACATAATGTAGCCGTATGACGTTGGTGGGGATGTTGTTGGCGAAGCGTTCAGCTTCTTGGTATTGTGTGTACAAGTTTTCATAGACGGCGCTGATGGAAGAGGCCATTCCTATACCATATGTATGTTTCTAGAGCCTGTTATTGGAAGAAAAACAGTCGAAGTTAATGCGGAGTTTAATGAGGTCAACAAAATCTGAACGTAGTGGAAGATTCAGGTCCTTATTAACTTAACGTTGTAGAAGGCGGGTACCTTAATAAAGAGGGAAATCACGTCCGGACTACTAAGTTTCTTGTTGCTGACAGATATGTCTCTGACGCGGTTGAAGAAGGTCACCTGAATGTTTTGGATAAGAGGGGTTGATAGTTTCCAGGAGGCAGGAAAAGTGTTTGGTAAGAGCTGCAGATAGTTTGTGTGGTGTATTTCCAATACTTGATGTGACTGGTCTGAGTATTGTTTGTAAGAGCTTGACAAAGCACCTGGAGAGCGAAACGTTGCCACGATAAGTCACATTAATTGCACATGTGTCCTTTTTACCTAACATATATGATCAATTTCTTTTGAATATTTCCCTGATATATCTTGGCAGTTTTTGCTGCCTTCCAGCTCCGTGCTGCAGCGTGTTTCCCATACACACACCCATACCTTTATCTCCTATTTGGTTCCTTGATGCTGGTGAGAGGCTCTTGATCTAGGGAATTGGACCTGTGCTCCAGCTCCCTGAAGTGAGCCTAAATACCTTCCATTCCCCCCAATTGCGTTGTATAATCCTACGGGTTCATAGCTCCCCCATAATAATAATTTATCTTCTATCAGTTTAAAATCCTAGCAACAGCTCCTCTTGAAAGAGTTGGCTAATGCTATAACTTCTCTATCCTTGCATACACATCAAGTTTGTAATACAAATTGTTACAATTATCAATTTACAGACATCAATTTACATCATTCGTCAAAGACATCTATTCATTTCCCACTCATCTTTAAGGCAAGATGTTACATATGATCTTCTTTAGACGTAATTAGATTTATAGCTGTCCTGCACTTAGCCAGTAGCTACTGTACCCTGCCCTTTCCAATATGTGTAGTTTCCACCAGCACTGAGGAAGAAAATGGACATGTTCCCATTACCTAACATGATAATATAAATCCTATTAATTTTATCACCAACACCAGCCTCTGGGAAACACCTGTCTAACCTTCCTATTTGTTACAGAAAGTACGGTCAACATATCTTACCTGTGAGTCACTAACCACAGGGATATCCCCACCTTCATTAGCAAAGGAGTTGATGGTACATTTATCTTCAATGACAATTAAATAGCATTCTTTCTGGAGAAGAGGAAAGCGATTTTTTATCTTAACATCAGCTCTTTTAACCTTCCTCATTTTGATTTTATCTCCTTACTGGAAACTTCTTAAGGCTGCCAATCTGCTCCTCACTGCTGGTAATCTGTTTCCCTTTGGTAACCCCGAGTCACATTACCTTCATTGTCATACTTATCCAGACGATTTTTTATCTCTTATTTTCCTCCTTGAGAAGTGAAACTTCTAACACTTTGAACTCTGACTTTAGAAGATAACAGAAGTAAGACATGGTGCTCTGTTACATTTCACACTAATTCTCCAAGACAGTCCAACATAAGTAACAGTAAGGGTTGAAGGGCTGAGATATCAGAATGGGAGCGTGTAAGAAGTAATGATCCGAGAAGATCAGTATAGGATCCTCTACTCTTCTTAAAATACTTAAATGACCTACCAGAGAGGATTAAGTAATTTGTGTCACTGCTTTATGACAATGCAAAACTAGAAAGAATTAGAACAGCTGAGGACAGTCGTGAACTGCAGAAAGACCTCAACAAACAACAGACGCGGTTACGCAAACACAGTAGCACCACCACTTAAACCCAAACAAATGGAATGCAATTTTTTTTGGAGAAGGCAGACTGGATACATATATATAGCTTTAGGCAGAAAAAATACAACAAATATCAGTAAGTAAAATAAACTTAGGGTGAATATAAACTCGAACATATCGCCAGATATGCACATGAACTGTATAGCGGCAGCGGCACATTCAAGATTAGAAAACCTGAGATCAGCATTCAGGAAGTCGAATAAAGAATCACTTAGAAACACATGTATTACAACATAAAAAATGATAGTTGGACTTAATGGGGCAGGTGAGGACAGACTATTTGAATTAAAAGGATCTGGATCAAGTGGTTACAGGTGGAAACAAAACCTAAGAAAAATTTAAGGAATACAAGGAATAATTTCAATAATCTAAAGATAGATGAAAAGTAGAAAGACTTGGAAGAGGCAGAGGAGGATGTCGACTTAATACGCAGCTTCAAGAGTAGATATAAAGGCTTAGATGACAGAAGTCAGTGATGTGATTCAGAGTAATATAATCTAGGAGTCAGGGCCAGGAGATAAATCTAGATTTCAGCACACACAAATCGATGAAATCAATTTTGGTGAGGACACACGGGTCTTTATGCACACACAGGTCTCAGGCCTGGCCTAAAAACTGGCGCCAGGAGTTTAACTCTACCAAGTGAAAAGTCATGAAGATTGGGGAAGGTCAAAGAAGACCGCAGATAGAGTACAGTCTAGGGGGCCAAAGACTGCAAACCTAACTCAAGAAAAAGGATCTTGGGGTGAGTATAATACCAAGCACATCTCCTGAGACGCACATCAACCAGATAACTGCCGCGGCATATGGCGCCTGCCAAACTTAAGAACAGCTTTTCGACACCTGAATAAGGAATCATTCAAGACACTGTACACCTTGTACGTCAGGCTCATATTGGAGTATACAGCACCAGTATGGAACCTCACACCTGGTCAAGTAGAATTACCGACAATATGTTAGGTAAAAGGACGCAAGTGCAACTAATGTGACATTTTATTGTGGCAACGTTTCACTCTCCAGGAGCTTTATCAATCCGTTACGGCTTGATAAATCTCCTGAAGAGCGAAACGTTGCCCAAATAAAATGTTACATTAGTTGCACTTCTGTCCTTATACCTAACAATTTGGAGAATGATGTAGTGGTCCTAGTAGCAACCAGCAAAGAGGCAGGGCCAGGAGCTGTGACACAACTAAACCTCTGCAGTCACTTATTGGTGAGTACACAGATACAAACACTCAAGGAGCAGGGAGAGTGGACCTAGTAGTGATCAGCAAAGAGGTGGGATCGGGAGCTGTGACTTGACCTCAGCAATCACAAATAGTTGAGTACAAATAAGCAAGTACACACATGAAATCATGTAGTAAGTCATGTGAACAAAGCGACCAGGAAGCTTACAGCACTAATACATAACTGGCATCTGCTCGACAATAGAGGCTGCAAGACTATGTTCAGGCACGTCTTGAGGATGCTCCACTTCCTT